ATTGACTACGTGTGGGAGTTTGCCAGTGACTAGGCTTGTAGAGTCACCTTGTACTTCCTTAGTTCTACTAAAAATTGACAGGCAGAAGCAATCAGGATGAGAGGGCTCGAAAGACCCAAGAGAAAGGCAGCCGTGCTCTTTCTTAAGTCTTGAACATTTGTATACTACCTCGTAAGAAATTGCATGAGTGAAGCCCCTTGACTTAAAAAGTTTATTCTGATGATACAAGAAACAATTCTCAAGTATATCAGTGTCTATTACTCCGCCCCGGCAGGGTTTCAATTTTTTTTTATGAAGGAAGAACATTTACTGATAGACTTTTTAGATCTACTTGACTATTTAGTTTACTAGTTCGGAGCGAGACGGAGAGCAATCAAGTTTCAGACATTTCTAGTAGCAACTGTGTGCAACGCGACTATTAGGCGAGCCTAGATGGGTGCTCCTCAATATCTGCCACGGAAAACAAAATCAAGCCTGGTTCGACTACCAAATCACCAGCCTTCCCGCATATGTATTTTGAAAGTGGAACGCAGTTAGATTCTAACCCTTTGGTCTTCTGTCACCGCATCTAAGGGATATGCATAGTATACAACCACTTGGCTTATGAAACACTTGTCAGCCATTGCTGCAGAGGTAAGATATTTGACAGCCAATACTGGTTCTCTGCGCTTTATGACGCAGTTACCTTCTCTGCTGTATACATATCTTTCCAAATTTACAATAATACCTGACGGATATCGGTGCTTCTTGTCTTTAAAAGGTTATTTTAGAATACGAATCAAACACACACAACTCTGGCGCTATTTTACGTAGGCCTTGGAATGCTGGAGAAGCACCCCCATAACATCTTAGAAACCAAGAATTTCTGATACACTAGCTTTCTTTCGAATCCTATATGCCGTATACCATCGAACGTTTGCTACAAACACAGGAAGACTCACGAAAACTCTCCAGTGGACTAAAATATATTCCGGGAGTGGATAAAGAAATTTGATCTGCCGAGGATGAATCTGAGACGCGATCAAAAAGGTCTCGAGACTCCGCAGAAAAGATATTGGGTAGTCACTGATGTGACGGGGTTGTAAAGGCTCAATGTGATCGTTGGGGGCGGATCGAGAATACCTTAGGATGGAAGGTAGCCTCTGCCTAAAACTACTTGGAACAACAACTGTAGCATGTCTCGAGAATTTCAGATGCCTTAGAATCGTAAAATAAACAGATGTCGAATACTCGGGCGAAAACCGACAAGATAGACCGAGCTCTAATAGCATTAGATACTTACTATTCGGATTTCAGCGATAGACTATCTAAAAGAGGAAAGTCAAGATTACCAGCCTCAATGTCAGTTGCTGAGAATCTGCCAATGCTAACTACATTTATGGTGTAGAATCCAGCGAAGGGAAATCATGTTCGGTACAGTACTTTCAAGCTCCTAAGCCTGTGGCTTGTACAAAATCGCAATCATGGGCTAGGATAATGTAAGTTTCGAACAAGCAGAAATAGTAACCGAATATGCTGACCAGTCAGTAGTATTGCGATGGATTGTCCACTTTGGCCTCAGATAATTCGATTCAAGCGGCTATGTCCGCTTCTCTTGGCAGACTTCGGCAACCCCCTGAGACCGACCATATCATCGACAACATGTTTAGACACGAAACAGGAAGAGTTGTAGATATGCTAATCCAACATATGCTTTGTTCGAAAGACATGGTCTCAACCGCATAAATTCTGAGCCGGCAACTAGTTTTCCTCCCTTGCTTCGTGCTACTTTCTTCATGCCTGTGCAGAGGGAATGAGACGAGGTTGAGGTCAAGGCTCCATCGGGTTTAGCAAGCGGGATAAGTGGCCTTGCGTGACAGTATGTCTACTAGGCCCCTCGCTGTGGGACTTACTGACCTATCAGGTACTCACATCTGAAAGTTTCTCCATGAAGGAGAAAGGAGGGACATCATAAATAGGGATGCGTCTAAAAGAGAATCTAGACTACAACCCCAAACTTGCCCGAAGGTAGAATACATTTGTACAGTACTATTCTGCTATTTATACCCCTATTTTAGTATTGTTACTACGGTGGCTTACGGCATTCGACTCCACGATTCTGATACTACTACGCTCGTATTTCTTTGGAAGAGGGAAGACTGGAGCCCCAGCAGAGAAAATGCCATCTTTCCAACCATTGAGGTAAAACAGCTCAAAATCCAGTCTTTTCAATGACTTCCGAGATACGAAAATATAAATTGTAGGCCACATATGCAATATTATTGAAACACACTGTGGCGAACTTCTTTCCAAAGTTAAACAGTGCGGTAGCGATCGGGATATAAGCTTTCTAGACGGAACGAGTACGTCGATCTTCTATACGAGGACACGGCGTTTTGAAAACCGATCATTTATGCTTGGGCTGAGGTGTGTCATCGATCGCTGGAGCAGAACATCAGCGACCTTCTCCTATAGTTGATTTTGTACCGCGGCGAGGTTACAATACATAATAGCTGTTACATACTAAGTCCATTATGTCACGTCATTACGGCATAACAAAGGGGTTTATTATGTCTTATTACGACATAACAATAAGTTATTATATTCCAGAGAATAAAGAACCGCTATGGGTCATAGTAGGTGCTAGAGGGCTCCTGAAAACTCTGTAAATAGTACTTCTTGAAGGCTCTCTTCCTGATCAATCAAACAATTTTGAGATCAACGAGTACGACATGATGTGAAATCGCCGTATATACCATAAGGTCTCAATCCAATAATAGCAATCATGAGCTTCGCTTGAAGCAGTTTTACAACGCTGCGATGAAGACTTCGCAGTTTGTTCCGTATGCGAAATCCAAGGGGATCCAAGGAGACGAAGCACGAAGTTAGGCATAGATCAACGAACTTGACAACATCATGCAGCGGCTCTGGATCGTACAGGCGCAAGAGTTGCAGAAGAGAGACGAATTTAAAGCATTAAGAGACGGTGTAAATATCCCTCGCAAAACGTGTTGGAAAGAGTCGTTGCTAATCCTCTCACAATACTCTTCCCCGCCAACAGCATGATCGAAGCTCGGGGATCAAGAATAGTCACCGAACACCTTCGCCTCTCACACTGGTGAGCATATTCTTTGGCCCTCTTTCATTCTGTGTGGTAAGCCCAGGCCTTGGAATTGAGTAAAAGTCTGGCGCTGACTCGTTCATAGTCGCTTTAGAGTGTACCACATGTGAGCGAGAGCACAAAGATCTTATGACGCCTATCTTCTTGACTGCTGCCGTGAGCATGATCTCTTACTTCAGAGTGTTTAACCTGAAGTTGGCCATCTCTACTTTCCGACCCCTTGTTCGATGGCGTGAGGCTGTATCCGAGCGATACGCGAGGAAGATGAGATGCCGCTCAAAGAAGTAGATGTGGGAGACCCAAGAATTTCAGCCTAGACTGAAGGAGGAGGCCAAGGAACTGCAATTATTCCCAAAGAAGGATATCAATCCGTGAGCAACGGAGTGGTGGTTCTCCTTCGATGGGCTTGATCTCTTCTAGGGTAAGGTTGTGGATACGTCTCGATGGATAAAAGCGGCCCTGGTAGCTTGGTGCGTCTTAGAGTGGATATTAGCTGGAGGTAGGATAGAGGTACAGACAGTAAGAGTCCATATTGGCATAGAATCGTAGCAAAAGTTGCTAACAAAGGTAGGGATGGAAGAGTAAGGCAAAAAGGGCTCTGACAAAGAGCGATCGCGCGAGGAGGTGTGTTTACAAACTCTCTTACGTTCCGTGATGAAGACCACTAAGAAATGTATTACCAAGACTGCTGGTCTTATACCAGAGCACTGGCGGAAATTCAATACATCCAGAAATTAGATTTGAATTAAGATGTCACTGCACTTGCAACAATTGACAGACTCCCCAGCGTCGAGACTCAGTGCAGCGTGACATGAGTATGATATGTAGTTTAAATGTAGTTTAATTCTATATATTGTTAGTACAAACGCTAGCCGCGAGGTCTTCGAGGTTACCAAAAGCTGCTCATTATCGCACCATACCTCCTGCCAGCACTTGGCTATCATCTCCAGCTACACCTAGTTTCGTACAATATTTCCTGCTTGGATCAAAAAATCCATGACACCATGTCACCGATCTCCCTTTTGGCTCTGCTCCTTCTCCTCGTCAACTTTCTTGTCCTTTTCTTTCACTTGCTCCGTCTTATCACTGCCCCAATTCCACACCTCCCAAATCTGCTCAGAAATCAAATCACCGTATCCCTTCCCTTCCTCCAACATCTCTTTCTCCTTCCTATCACGCTCCTCCTTCCATGCAGGCTTCGCTATCCGTTTCTGACCATCAATGATCTGTTTTCTGGCGACCTCATCCAATATCTGCGAGCTTAATGCCGCCCCATCTTTCGTAAATGGCTCAGAATTCGGTTTCCCACTCATCTTGTCCTTCCCCAACGCTATCCTCTCCTGCATACTTTGCGCCAAAGCATTTTCGCTAATTGGGATTGGTGCCTCCGCTCGCGGCGGTCTCTCCGTGCCAAAGTGTTGTATTCGTGTTAAAATGCTGCGACCTGTATATTCCTGTGCAAGCTGATTTCCTCCCACGAAGGTTAGGGAAACGAGGGCCGCGCTGTAGGCATCGAGTTTTCGTGGAGGTAAGGCGAGGACTATCGGGCAAAGAACGACGACTGCGATTGAGGCGGTATGTATTAGTTGTGCTTGTTTGCGCGCGTTGTCATTCTGTGCTTGCTGCGGCGTTGTGCTTGGAGGTGCCATTTTGGGACGATCGAGGCAATGATCGAGAGGCAGGATTGTCACACAACTCTCGTTATGACGATTGAAGCATTGGTAGCCAAGTCTATGCGTTCTGAAGTCATCAAATGCAATAACAATCAATGATTGCAGGTCAGAACATTTCATTCATGTTTCGATGACATCTGCACTTGTGTTTCCGAAGTGACACCGGCTAGAGGCTCAGATCCAAAGTTTGCATTTATATACTTAAGTAAGCACCACTTTAGTCATCAGTCAAGTTGCCAGAGTGGTTAATGGGTATGACTCGAACGCTCTGTAGTGAGCAATAAGATATCATATGGTTTCGGCCGCGTAGGTTCAAATCCTGCACTTGACGTAATTTTTGCACTTCTTTATGTGAATATGGCAACTTTTTTTCCCCTTTTACGTGGTGAGCCTTAGAAAGGTTAAGTGTATGGTGGGGTATAATAGTGGGTAGGACCAAAAGTCAGGATCATCAGAAAACTAAAAAAGTGTATTTACAACCGCTTATTTCTCTATAATAATCTACTCGAATTAAAGAAGGTGTTTTCTTTCGATACGGTAATAGTAATCCACTCTTAAATATTATACTAATGTAGGAGAGATGATCGAAATCGAGAATTAAAAAGTAAAGCCCTAATAATAAAAGTTCTATTTTAATAACTAGACTTATTTTAAACTACTTAAAACTACTCTTATATATTCCTCTATTTAGCTGTATTATAAAATTAAAGAATTATAACCTTATTCCATGTATAGTAGTATATTAGAATATAGTTTTCGACTAGTCTTAACTTTTGACCCTAACCTCTGTTGTCCCCCACCATAGTAGTGGCAAATTAGTCAGCCCAGTACTTTCCGAACAAACCTCAATTTTGACAAGTCTGTTGCAGTTATAATCTAAACTCATTAGATAATACTCAAGGAAAAGCAAAACGGGTTCCTAAGAAAAATAGCTTGTCTCGACGTAATTACCTATCACTCTCTTAATATATCGATACACGCTATGTAATTTTTTTCTAGGCTAGTCTATATAGCAACCTAACTTCTATTAAATGTATAGGGCTAGAGAGAAGTCGTGGTTATGGTTGTTCGGGCGTGTGAGAATTCGGCTTTCTATACGTCACTAAATTTTGGCGTGGTTTGGGGCAAGCCATTTTGCTTAGGAAGCCGTTTTACTTATCCCGAGTAGTCGGCTAACACTTTCTAAGAGAAGAGGAAACTACACAGGGGTTTCGAATTTGATTCTTGTGGAATACACTTATCGTCCTCGTTTCAAAAATCCGTCGTCAGTCATCATCATCATCATCATCAGCCTAGCAAGGCACAAAATAATCAAAAGGCGTTAGCCACTATAACGTAATAGTGGTTATATGAGTCACTTATTTCCTTAGTAATTATTGCAAATTATCGGTAAGGTGGCAAAGAAGATTCTGGAGGATATTAAAACCTGATTAGTCAGGCAGTCACTCTCTATATAAAGACTCGCTTGTTCCTG